TTTAAAAAAATATCTATATATTTTCACATTTTTTTTTTTTTTTTCAAAATGATTGACAACGTCACACCAAACAAGGTAATTCAGTTATGTGTGGAATGTTTTCTGACACGGTTGGAAAAAAACAATTTGTCGAACGTGTCTATATAAACCGCAAAAAGAAACGTACATTAAGACACACAAAATGAATCAACCTATCGATCATAATATACGAATGACTGATCAAGAACGACGTTTGTTAAAAAACATAAGTCAAAAAAATTGTGTCAATGAAAATTGTCAACATTGCAAACACAGTACGGCCCACGACTCACATGCACACCATACGCTAAGATACTGCGCCGAGTGTCGTGTATACATGTGGCGTACCATGAAAGAAAAACAAGAACAGGAGTACGATGAAAAACAAGCAAAGATTCAACAAGATCCGACAAGTCAAGAATACGTGCACACGGGACGTGTTTTGTACTGTGATCCGCCGCTGTTTGAATACCTGTATATAAATGAAAATAGAAAATTTACAAGCCGACACGACAATCTCGAGAACGCGATAAAAGAGTATCGTAAAACCTATCACGCAGACGAAATGATGCGTCTCTTACAAGTCCAAAAAAAATATCGCGTCGAACAACGAGCCAACGTGCTTCTCAAAATGTATCCGCAAGTCGATCGCGAAGAATTGTTGGAAAAATTATATGCAGTTGAAGATGATCATGAAAAGGAACAATTTATACAACTTTGCGAACTACCCGGAGCCTTTTATCTGTATTTACAAATTAATAAACGTTATATATTTAGATCAGCAAAAAACGACTTGCATGCGGCCATCGAAGAATATCATAATTTAAAACATTGGGATTCAGATCAAAAAATATAAATTTACCTTTAAAATAAAACTTTTGTAAGTTTGTTGTTGTCCGGATCTTTGGGTCTATTACCAAATAGCCCTTCACCCGCTTTTACTCTCTTCACCATCTCCTGATGATGTTGTTCCCGTGCTCGTTTTAGCGATTCCTTTTTTTTTCTAGTCTTCTGCATCGTATGATAATGTTGGAGGCTCACACCGGTGTCTTCTTGGAATTTTTCCAATGATTCGTTTATTTTACGCCAAAAACTATTTATTAACATCTTGAGACAAGTGGAATGTCCCACAAACGCCACGGCACCGCTGGGTAGCATTGTGGGTGGTTCTGGTGGGACTTTAAAATTTTTTAATAACTCTATTTGAATACGATGTAACAAAATATAATACACATGAGCATTACCCTGCACAAAATCGGGTATCAGACCTTGCTTAAGCATTAACCCCTCCACTTCGCCTATATCAATTTTTTTCCCTCATCATCATCATCTTCGTCTATCTTCGACAAAATAGTTTTTCCCTCTAACCACTGCAGAACACATTCTTCCCACTTTGCTAAAGACGCCATGATCGCTATTAACCCTTTGTGCGCAAAAAGGATCTCTTAAATAATTCACAAAAAACTACATTTATTATCATTTTACTTACATTTTCAAACAATTTTTCGAGTTTTTTTTTTAGATGCGTGGGCGTTTATCTAACCCCGATGGTGTTATTTATAAAAGCTTTCGACGCGTAAGTAATACTATCGCTTGCAATCAAGATGGATAACGAAAGCTATCTACAAATACTTGAATATTTAAAAAAGGATTCTATTGATATAGAGGGTATTGCTCCTTACGACATTGGTCCCAATAAAAAGATTCATGCTGTAGGGGAAGAAATTGAAGATTGTCAAAAAATAGCTCGACTCCTTGTTGTTACAAAAATTTATTACAGTATTTCTCACTGTCGAGTATTGTCGAACCAGCTTTCGGACATTGAAAGAGATGCCATTATTCGTACGATAGTTTACAAAGATGATATAATGGAAAAAATATCTGGGGAACTAGCGCTACAAATGGTTGAATTTTCAATAACTGTAAATATGCATATTCAAAGTGTTTACGATGCTTTATTATGGAATACTAAAGCGACTGAAATCATGGTGAATGCCTTCTACGAAAACTTTAATAGTTTGACAATAAAGACAGCCATACCCTTTCCAAGTGGTCGGGGAAATTTTTCAGATTATATGGCGGGACCCTTGATACCCACCGCTACAAAACTCACTAATAATATTATCGAGGGAGATACTTTACTTTATCGTATGTTAGCCGTATGTATTTATTCGGGTAGTTATAATCTTATACGAATAGTAAACTTATTTGGTCTAGATGCATGCCTAAAAGTTTACCCGCTATTAAAAGAAAATGTAAAGGACAGATTTTCTTGGATTGCTTTTGACGAAACATTACCGTTAGCAAAAATAGAAATAGTCAACGACCAAATCCATGTAGTTATGTAAAAAATAAAAAAAATATATTTTTTTTACAAGCAAAAAAGTAGCCTCACAGACACGGTAGTTCAAATAAAACCCAGAAGAAAAAAAAAAAGAACAAACAAAAGGGAAAAATAGCCTCAGACAGTATATTGCATGAGATTGTTTTTCTATTTTAAAAAAACAATCCACATGCAATACACTGTTCAGTGGTTCAGAATCCAAAAGAAGAAAAAGAAGTGAGCCATGTGTAGTGAGAATACCGATCATCTTAGGGTGAGAATCGAACTCACTTTGACTTGGGACTTTTATTCCCCAACGCGTTGCCATTCCGCCACAATAGATGTCGCAATATGTTCAACACACACGCACCCACATTATATGTCTGCTTCATTTCGGTATATATCCACGTCTTACTTATCTTGCACAATTATTACGGTTTTCTCCACTGCGCGCATGACTCTATACATCTCTTGTGTACTGTGTGTAATTATTTAAAATAACAATCTACACACAGTACACATAAAACGATAAAGTCTTAACACCAATAACACCAACCCTGTTCAGAACACTCGCAAAATCGTGACACTTGTATTTTCTTATCTTTATCTCGTTGCCTTTGCTCCTCTATTTTCACATCTAATATACGAATTATTTGACAAATATTACACTCGCAATTACACGTGCAATCATCCTCCTCGCAAATACACGTACACTCCATATCACTACCCAAGCAAAACTAAAGTCTTCAAAGACCAAATCCATGTTATTATGTAAATTTATATTTTAGACGATCTTTGGCTTCGCGTTTTACACTAGAAGCAAATGATCGTACTAAATTAAAATTTACTGTCCAACACGAATTTAACATTCTAACAAAATGATTGACAGGTAAAACACCCACAAACACTGAAAAATCGGGTCAACAACCCGCAAACACCCGCGACGCCCTAAAATCGGGCGCGACCCGCGAGCATAAAAGAGCGCGAACTTCAAATGCAAAATCACTTCGGTCGACCGCGGCTTTGGAGTAACATCTCGCCCCAGCCCCCCTCCCAAAACACCGTTCTCGTAAGAACGACGCCTCCCCCCCCCAAAAAAAACAAATCCCACACCCTCCAGAGCGCGCGGCAGGAGAGCACATTCCAGAAGTCACATGACCACAAAAACTCCCCCCGTCCGTACAGCCCACCACACCCATGGCCAACGCCCTTCAGGACACTCTCGCGCAATACTAATCCCAATTAATTTTTTCTGGTTCCCGCTCCCCCTTGTTTTTTTATTGTATATATATAACGACTACTGATGTCCCTGTCGCAGTTTTTGTGAAATTGTCCTTGTTTGCTAGTATAAATGTGTTTCAATAAAATTAATTACGACTAAATGTAGTAATAATACAGTAAGTTTATGTGTTTGTAATTTTTGTCACTGAAAAGCCCCTTCAGGGGAGTGTCAATAATGTCAATAATCAAATAATCAAAATAATCAAATGTGAGAGATATGTGGCATACATCTTACATCTTTCTGGTACTTAACAGAAATGCAGATTCATGAATGCAATACTTTATAGCTTGGTAAAATTAGAAAGAATTTCGACTCAGCCACCCGGGTAATTTAACAATTGAGCAACAATTTTAAGCCGGGGTTTTAACACTAGTGAAATATTAAAATCCCAGCTTATCCCCCCGGGGGTTGGGGTTTCAATTGCCCAGTGCATAACATTGACAATTTATATAATATATATTTATAATGTAATTTATACTATATATTCTTCTGTGAATCAAGCCAAGGAGAAATTCTTAAGGTTGACAAAGGAAGATGGACTCCTGATAGAAATGGACGAGTCGGAAAATGAAAATGCCGAATCCATCCCACCCAAAAGGCCCAGAACCCGAGGCGAGGCAAAGTAGTCGAACAAGAGAAAGAAAAGTACATCCGTGGACAATGTTAACAAGGAAAACACATTACCAAAAACGAAAAAGGCAAAGAAGCCAAAACGCAAACAAAAGCTATATACCAGGTGGCACAAAAAAGTTATTTTAACTTAAAAACTAAAAGAGCTATCACACCTAAACTACATGCATTGCATTTAGTATTGTCTAACTTAAATTTTCATGTTAAATTTTCATATACGCCCTGTGCATTTTCGTGCAATATTGACTGAGAGAGCTGCGTTTAAACTTGAATAAGCATTTTGGGAAGTGTCAAGAATTAGATAAAAACGGCCTGTTAAACTAATTTGATAACTGTTACCATTTTGTTGTAAATATTTGTTTTGTAGTTCGAACATGCACTCCTTGAAGGCAGCCATATTGCTGAATATAAACATCCACTTGATGAATAAATTTTTCACACTTCACTCTATTTCTAACGACCAATCAAATCACTTCTGCCTTGGCTTGTCCCTAGGCTTATGGCAACACAGGCACCCGAGAAGCCCTGGAAACAAGGATGACGTATACATATATATATATATAGTGTAAAGGGAAAACTGTGGACTGTGGACCGGATTTGAACCGGTGACCTCCAGGTTTTTGTGCCAATTATTATCCAGCCAGTGTCACAATCATTCCTACACACCACTCACCAAGGCCATGCTGAATTTTTCTTTTTGATGATACGACTGTTTTTGCTGGTAATACAACTGGTTCAGCTGGTAATATGGCTGGTTCACCTAGTACTATGACTGGTTGTGTGGGCAATATGGCTGGTTGTGCTGATACTATGGCTGGTTATGCTGATACTATGACTGGGTGTGCTGGTACTACGACTGGTTGAGCTGGTACTACGTCTGGTTGAGCTGGTACTATGTCTGGCTGAGCTGGTACTACGGCTAATTGAGCTGGTAATACGGCTGATTGAGCTTGTAATACGGCTGATTGAGTCATCAACTCTAAGAAGACTTATATATAAGGTTAGAAATTTTCATTCAGTGTCATTCTGTACATGCAGTGGTATATTTTTCTGTGGATCATTCTGTCTTGCGAATTTCAACAAAAGATGTTGTCATGGTCGACGATGGCGGAGAAATGAGGGAAAAATCTTTTTGCCCTGGTCAAATGTAGGAAGGAACGCTCTTACAGAAAAACAACGAATTCGTATACGCCACTACCAACGGCAAGAATGTTTTGAACCCGCTGCACCCTTACCACCAGCACCACCAGAATGGCGAGAACGGCGCACAGAACAGTTTGTACCTGCAGCAGCACCGCCACCACCACGGCGCCCGGAACGGCGCCCAGCAAGATGGCCACCATTACAAAATGCTGAAATTACCTCAACAACTCGGGCAAACGAAGCTCGTCCTGTGGAGGTGATTGTCATCAGCAATTTTGATATCTGATTCGTGATTGCCGGTGTGAGCTCCGTAAATTACGTGGGATTTTTGCGTCTTTCTTTGGATTTTTAACAGCATTACGCTGCAGAATTGTGAATAAAGTTGTGTACGTGGATAATATAAGGTATTTTTACGAATATTCCAAACAGTTGCTGAATAATTGGTGCTTTTTCGTTGTTATTTGCACCAAATTTGGATTTTAAGTTATTTTTTCCTGAACGCGCAAGTGGAGGACCGTTGGCTGACGAGTACAATCGAGAACGCCATTGCGCGCGCTTTAATTAATTGAGCGTGTGCGTTGAAAAGAACATTGAATTAGAACAAATTCGAACAATTGAGTGAAAATTCAAGATGTTTTAACTAAATTCAGCTACATTATTATATTTCTGTGGATTATTTTTCGACGTAATCAAATTACTGGAGAAATACTGAATGCTTCTTGTGCAAGATCGAAATTTGTCAATTTGGAGTGTCCCAGTTTAGACAACGCGTATGTTATCACCAGTGTTTTGAATATAACGGACACAACTGAAATTTTATATTCTTTTCTGTTACGTCGCGTTCTGAAAACTAAACGGCGCAGTCAACTGAAAGCTCCTTTACGTACATCCCAAGTTAACTGGACTAAACATGGACAAATCTATTTGTCGCCCCCGGATTTTCACAAGAACATCGATCTTACTGTGTATATGGATGTAGAGTCTAATCCCGGTCCAGCTGAGTCTGAGAGTAATTCCCAATCAACCAATAAAGTCAACACAGCAAAAACATCGTCAAATGAAGGTAACATTACGATTGCTCACCTAAATATCTGTTCCCTAAAGAACAAAGAGCACCACTTACTGGTAAAGGACTTTGTCCTGAAACAGAGATTGGACATTTTCATATCTCAGAAACTTGGTTGGACAACTCTATCACTGATAGTGAAATTGAATTTCCGGCATATGGTCTATTTAGACTTGATCGTGATGGAAAGAGAGGAGGTGGTGTCTGTGCCTATATCAACCAAAGTTTCAAATGTGAGACCGTGAATGAACTATCCTATATTGCGGACTCTGGCTTACATCAGTTATGGCTACAGATACAAGTTATGAACTTCAGATCATTTTTCGTATGTACAGCTTACCGTCCACCTGGTACTAGTTTATCTTGTTTTGAGAATGATTTCAGTGAAACCTTAACGTCAGCTTTGTCCTTTAACAAACCTATCTACATCCTGGGAGATCTCAACTGCAATGTCCTAGATACGAATGACCCGGGACACCGCTCTCTTTTAGATTTCTGCACCTGTTTCAACCTGACACAGTTGGTTGATAAACCCACCAGAATTACTGAACATTCCCGTACATTGATTGATGTAATCCTTACCTCTTCAAAGAATAACATCAAGCAAGTAAAAGTCATCCCGAATTCAATAAGCAATCATGATGTGGTTATGTCAACCCTGACCCTGAAGAAGTGTCGTCCAAAGCCCGTCTATGTCTCTGTCTGAAGTTTCAAGAATTACAACCCAGAGGCCTTTTGTGAGGACATATATAATGCTCCATGGTCCGTCATTAACAACTTTGACGAAGTCAATGACAGTGATGATGTGTTATTTAATGGGATTCTTGATCAACATGCACCGGTCAGAAAAGTTAAAGTGAGAGTTCGTCCACATCCCTTTGTTACAGAAGAGATTCAAAAGCTGACGAGAACAAGAGATTGTTGGAGAAAAATACCTCGGAAAATTGGTGATCCTGTTGCGTGGTCTACTTACAGGGACTACAAACGGGATGTTAAACGGAAATTACGTCAAGCACAAAGATCGTATGTGGAGCAGGAAATAAAGAAGCACCCAAAGGACACAGGCAATATGTGGAAAGTAATTCGAACATGTATTCCCAAGAAAACTACAGGAAAGAAGTCATTCAGTAATGATGATAAATCTGTCACAAATAACTTTAACGAATTTTTTACAGCTGTCGGTTCAAACACCGTCATGAAAATTAAATCACTTGCTAAAGAAAATAATTACACTCCCTCCCAATTACCATTTGCCCCAACCAGTTACACCGAGTTAGATCAGTTTACCTTTGAACCTGTGGAATGTTCCTTAGTAGAATATATTGTGAAGTCAATGCCTGATAAGAAGGCACCAGGAATAGATAAAGTACCTATTCGCGTTATCAAGGACTGTCTTCCCGTTATTGCACCACGGATTACATCCATCATAAACAAATCGTTAGTCAACAATATTTTTCCAAGTGCTTGGAAAATTGCTGAAGTAATCCCCATTCTGAAAGAAGGTGATCATGAGCATGCCGATAACAACAGACCAATTTCCCTCCTACCCGTTCTTTCTAAGGTATGCGAGAGAGTAGCACTCAATCAACTAACCTCCTACCTAACCATCAATCGTCGCCTCTCTGTGCATCAGAGTGGCAACAAAACCTGGCACTCAACGGAAACCTCCCTCATCCATTCCACCGACTCCATTCTCAAAGCAATCAACCAGAAGAAAGTCACGGCAGTTATTCTTTTGGACATGAGTAAAGCTTTTGACAGCATTAATCACAATATACTTCTTGCTAAATTGGAGGATGTTGGCGTTTCATCTTCATGCCTGACTTGGTTTAGAAGTTATCTGAGCGAAAGATATCAAGCAGTACGCATAAATTCTACTCTATCTGAGAAATTGCCAGTGGTTAGTGGTGTCCCACAAGGAAGTATTCTCGGTCCGTTGCTGTTCAGTATTTATGTCAATGATCTACCGTCTGCCACTAAAACGTGTTCCTCTGAATCGTATGTTGACGATACTAAACTCCTTCTGTCCTTCCATATCAATGACTCTAATGCTGCTCTGGTTGATCTGAATGAAGACTTAATTAGAATTCGAAATTGGTGTTTCGACAACTTGCTCTTGCTCAACCCAGGCAAGACCAAATTGATGGTCTACGGAAGTCGTCAAATGCTCGCAAGGCTACCTGAATTTAGACTCTCACTACTCGGTAAAGAACTAACACCTGCTGCAACAGTCAAAGATCTGGGAGTTACGTTTGACCCAATCCTCTCCTTCGACAACCATATCCTTTCCACCGTCTCGTCCTGCAAATCAAGCCTCTGTCAGATAAATCGAGCTAAACACGCCTTCAATAAAAATCTGTTAGTAACTGTAATCAATGCTTTGGTTTTCAGCAAGCTCTACTATTGTTCTTCACTTTGGTCAAACACTTCCAGCAGTAACCTATCCCGCCTTCAAGGGGTCCAGAATTTTGCAGCACGAGTAGTGACGAATACAAGAACGTTCGACCACATCACCCCGATTCTAAAGGAAATACAGTGGCTTCCCTTGAAATTGCATCTCTACTATCGTGATGCTCTACTGGCCTTCAAATGCATGAAAAATTGTGCCCCCAACTACTTGTCGTCGCAGTTCATAACCAGAGGTGAAGTGAGCTCTCGTGAGACACGAAATGTACGAAGTCTGGATGTTCCATTGTACAAAACAGCTGCTGGACAAAGAACATTCCATTATCGAACTGTCACTCTTTGGAACAACATTGGCCCTGACTTAAGTCGGTGCAATTCTATTTCAAACTTTAAGTTAAAACTAAGACATAAACTTCTCCAACAATTCCAGGATAGTTATTAAGTACTTGTTTTTCAGTAGTTAATCAATAAGCGTTGTCGATGTTACTGTTGTTGTGTTATCATCATCGCTGTCGTTGTGGTTCTTGTTGTTGTTGATGTCCCTGTCGCAGTTTTTGTGAAATTGTCCTTGTTTGCTAGTATAAATGTGTTTCAATAAAATTAATTAGGACTAAATGTAGTAATAATACAGTAAGTTTATGTGTTTGTAATTTTTGTCACTGAAAAGCCCCTTCAGGGGAGTGTCAATAATGTCAATAATCAAATAATCAAAATAATCAAATGTGAGAGATATGTGGCATACATCTTACATCTTTCTGGTACTTAACAGAAATGCAGATTCATGAATGCAATACTTTATAGCTTGGTAAAATTAGAAAGAATTTCGACTCAGCCACCCGGGTAATTTAACAATTGAGCAACAATTTTAAGCCGGGGTTTTAACACTAGTGAAATATTAAAATCCCTGCTTATCCCCCCGGGGGTTGGGGTTTCAATTGCCCAGTGCATAACATTGACAATTTATATAATATATATTTATAATGTAATTTATACTATATATTCTTCTGTGAATCAAGCCAAGGAGAAATTCTTAAGGTTGACAAAGGAAGATGGACTCCTGATAGAAATGGACGAGTCGGAAAATGAAAATGCCGAATCCATCCCACCCAAAAGGCCCAGAACCCGAGGCAAAGTTATCGAATGCTGCAGAAAAAAGGCAACAAAGTCGAACAAGAGAAAGAAAAGTATATCCGTGGACAATGTTAACAAGGAAAACACATTACCAAAAACGAAAAAGGCAAAGAAGCCAAAACGCAAACAAAAGCTATATACCAGATGGCACAGAAAAGTTACCTTAACTTAAAAACTAAAAGAGCTATCACACCTAAACTACATGCATTGCATTTAGTATTGTCTAACTTAAATTTTCATGTTAAATTTTCATATACGCCCTGTGCATTTTCGTGCAATATTGACTGAGAGAGCTGCGTTTAAACTTGAATAAGCATTTTGGGAAGTGTCAAGAATTAGATAAAAACGGCCTGTTAAACTAATTTGATAACTGTTACCATTTTGTCGTAAATATTTGTTTTGTAGTGCGAACATGCACTCCTTGAAGGCAGCCATATTGCTGAATATAAACATCCACTTGATGAATAAATTTTTCATACTTCACTCTATTTCTAACGACCAATCAAATCACTTCTGCCTTGGCTTGTCCCTAGGCTTATGGCAACACCGGCACCCGAGAAGCCCTGGAAACAAGGATGACGTATACATATATATATATATAGTGTAAAGGGAAAACTGTGGACTGTGGACCGGATTTGAACCGGTGACCTCCAGGTTTTTGTGCCAATTATTATCCAGCCAGTGTCACAATCATTCCTACACACCACTCACCAAGGCCATGCTGAATTTTTCTTTTTGATGATACGACTGTTTTTGCTGGTAATACAACTGGTTCAGCTGGTAATATGGCTGGTTCACCTAGTACTATGACTGGTTGTGCTGGCAATATGGCTGGTTGTGCTGATACTATGGCTGGTTATGCTGATACTATGACTGGGTGTGCTGGTACTACGACTGGTTGAGCTGGTACTACGACTGGTTGAGCTGGTACTACGTCTGGTTGAGCTGGTACTGTGTCTGGTTGAGCTGGTACTATGTCTGGCTGAGCTGGTACTATGTCTGGCTGAGCTGGTACTACGGCTGATTGAGCTGGTAATACGGCTGATTGAGCTGGTAATACGGCTGATTGAGTCATCAACTCTAAGAAGACTATATCTAAGGTTGGAAATTTTCATTCAGTGTCATTCTGTACATGCAGTGGTATATTTTTCTGTGGATCATTCTGTCTTGCGAATTTCAACAAAAGATGTTGTCATGGTCGACGATGGCGGAGAAATCAGGGAAAAATCTTTTTGCCCTGGTCAAATGTAGGAAGGAACGCTCTTACAGAAAGACAAAGAATTCGTATAGGCCACTACCAACGGCAAGAATGTTTTGAACCCGCTGCACCCTTACCACCACCACCACCACCAGAACGGCGCACAGAACAGTTTGTACCTGCAGCAGCACAGCCACGGCGCCCAGAATGGCGCCCAGCAAGATGGCCACCATTACAAAATGCTGAAATTACCTCAACAACTCGGGCAACCGAAGCTCGTCCTGTGGAGGTGATTGTCATCAGCGATGATGATATCTGATTCGTGATTGCCGGCGTGAGCGGCGCGCACCGCTGAGCTCCGTAAATTACGTGGGATTTTTGCGTCTTTCTTTGGATTTTTAACAGCATTACGCTGCAGAATTGTGAATAAAAGTTGTGTACGTGGATAATATAAGGTATTTTTACGAATATTCCGAACAGTTGCTGAATAATTGGTGCTTTTTCGTTGTTATTTGCACCCAATTTGGATTTTAAGTTATTTTTTCCTGAACGCGCAAGTGGAGGACCGTTGGCTGACGAGTACAATCGAGCACGCCATTGCGCACGCTTGAATTAATTGAGCGCGTGCGTCGAAAAGAACATAGAATTAGAAGAAATAAGAACAATTGAGTGAAAATTCAAGATGTTTTTAACTAAATTCAGCTGCATTATTATATTTCTGTGGATTATTTTTCGACGTAATCAAATTACTGGAGAAATACTGAATGCTTCTTGTGCAAGATCGAAATTTGTCAATTTGGAGTGTCCCAGTTTAGACAATGCGTATGTTATCACCAGTGTTTTGAATATAACGGACACAACTGAAATTTTATATTCTTTTCTGTTACGTCGCGTTCTGAAAACTAAACGGCGCAGTCAACTGAAAGCTCCTTTACGTACATCCCAAGTTAACTGGACTAAACATGGACAAATCTATTTGTCGCCCCCAGATTTTCACAAGAACATCGATCTTACTGTGTATATGGATGTAGAGTCTAATCCCGGTCCAGCTGAGTCTGAGAGTAATTCCCAATCAACCAATAAAGTCAACACAGCAAAAACATCGTCAAATGAAGGTAACATTACGATCGCTCACCTAAATATCCGTTCCCTAAAGAACAAAGAGCACCACTTACTGGTAAAGGACTTTGTCCTGAAACAGAGATTGGACATTTTCACTATCTCAGAAACTTGGTTGGACAACTCTATCACTGATAGTGAAATTGAATTTCCGGGATATGGTCTATTTAGACTTGATCGTGACGGAAAGAGAGGAGGTGGTGTCTGTGCCTATATCAACCAAAGTTTCAAATGTGAGACCGTGAATGAACTATCCTATATTGCGGACTCTGGCTTACATCAGTTATGGCTACAGATACAAGTTATGAACTTCAGATCATTTTTCGTATGTACAGCTTACCGTCCACCTGGTACTAGTTTATCTTGTTTTGAGAATGATTTCAGTGAAACCGTAACGTCAGCTTTGTCCTTTAACAAACCTATCTACATTCTGGGAGAGCTCAACTGCAATGTCCTAGATACGAATGACCCGGGACACCGCTCTCTTTTAGATTTCTGCACTTGTTTCAACCTGACACAGTTGGTTGATAAACCCACCAGAATTACTGAACATTCCCGTACATTGATTGATGTAATCCTTACCTCTTCAAAGAATAACATGAAGCAAGCGAAAGTCATCCCGAATTCAATAAGCAATCACGATGTGGTTATGTCAACCCTGACCCTGAAGAAGTGTCGTCCAAAGCCCGTCTATGTCTCTGTCCGAAGTTTCAAGAATTACAACCCAGAGGCCTTTTGTGAGGACATATATAATGCTCCATGGTCCGTCATTAACAACTTTGTATTTATTTTTGTATTTATTAAAATTCAATACATATAATTCCATATATTTACAAATATCAAATTAGATGTATTAGGGCATACCATAAACAGAATTCAAGATTCCCTCAAGAATGGTTTCCCAATTACAAACAGAACATTAAACTAACATCACAGTACACATAATACAAATAATTCCTAAATTATATAATTTTACAATTTCTAAATTAAAAGTCTAAATTATATATATTTTTTTTTATATATTTTCTAATTTTCTGAATATCTGATTAAGGATTGAAAGCAGAAGGGAAAAGTTTAAAATAATATAGAGTAAGTTGTTTCTTAAAGTACGACAGATGCTGAATAGAACGCAATGTGTAAGGAAGTAAGTTCCATAAGCGTGTAACACGAACGAAATATGAGTGCTTAAGGACATCTGTGCGTGCAAAAGGCACTGTAAGTGTCATGTCGTCACTGTTGCGCAAAGAGCGACCCGTATTTTTCCAAGAAAGGAAACCTCCTGGTATATCAACTAACTCATGTATAATTTTAAAGAGAAAAACAAGATCCGTGATTTCTCTACGCATATACAAAGGTAGAAGATGAAGTTTTTCTAGTCTAGATTTATAATCAACTTCATGACCTAGGATCAGACGAGAAGCTCTACGTTGCACCTTTTCAATTTTATTAATATTCCGTTTCTTATAAGGAGACCATACTGGGCTAGCATATTCAAGAGTTGGCCTCACCCAAGTAAAATAAAGCAGACGCTTCACACTGTTATCATCAATATCCTTTAAGGTTCGATATAATAGACCTAACATTTTCTGGGCTTTAGCAACTATATTATCTGTGTGAATATTCCAATTCAAAGTATCAGAAATCCACACACCTAAATCTTTTTCGCTTTGAACAACCGACAAATGCGAGGAGCCTAAAGTATACTGCCTATCATATATTGTACGTGTTCTAACTACCCTCAACACCTTACATTTTTCAACATTAAACTCCATGCCCCACTTAATTGACCAATCATACAGAGCATTAAGATCCTCCTGTAATCTATCCTGATCGCTGGCATTGAAGATAACTCGAAAGCATTTAGAGTCATCAGCAAATAAGGGTAAATAGGATCCTTGAGATATAACTTCCGGCATGTCGTTGATATACAACAAAAACAGGAGCGGTCCAAGGACCGAACCTTCAGGTACACCAGATGTTACCGGAAGCCATTCAGAAGCAAATCCATCAATTACAACACGATGCCGTCTCTTATAAAGATAGGAGCGAAACCAAGAGAGCAAAGGATCGCGGATACCCAAAAGATGGAGCTTACAAATTAATTTAGAATGAGGCACACGATCGAAAGCCTTTGCAAAATCAAGATACACTAAATCAACTTGTTGTTTATTATCCATAGATTGAGCAAGTAAATGAACAACCTGCGTAAGCTGCGTAGCACAAGAACGTCTAGGATAGAAACCATGTTGTGAAGTTGTTATTTTGTTTGAAAAGAACTCAAAAACTACATTATAAACACCTTTCTCTAAAATTTTGGACAACTGCTCCAACAAAGAAATACCCCTGTAATTAGTTGCTTGAGACTTTCTGCCAGTTTTATGAATAGGTACTAAATTTGCATCTTTCCACTGAGATGGAAATTCACCAGTGCTAAGAGATTCATTAAATAATCTGGTAAGTGGAGTGGCAAT